CACTTTCACACCACATTAGAGGGAAACCAGACAACAGAAATATAATTATCATTTTTTCTTTCTCCTATTTCCTATTGAAGTTTTCATGTAAAGGAAACTATACAATATAATATACAAGCTTGTGTCTAGTTTACTTCATTTAAAGTAATCTGAAGGTGCGTCCATCTTCCAAGTGACTGGTTTGTCTTTTTTAACACCACCACTCCGTTTTCTGTATCCACTCATCTGTTGGTGAGCATACAGGCTGATTCCAAGATTTGCCTATCGTGAATCGTGCTGTTATAAACATAGCTACATATACATCACTGTGACAGGATGATTATTAACTCTCTTGGGAAGATGCCCAAATAGCTGTGTCAAATGGAGTTTCTACTTTTAGTCTTTTGAGGAATCTCCATACTGACTTCCATAGTGGTTTATCAGTTTACACTCCCACCAACAATAAAGAAGTGTTTCTTTGCTCCCCACAGCCTTGCCAGCATTTTATTGATTTCTTGAAGATAGAAATCTTTCTGGGGTGAGATAGAATCTTAATGTTTTAATTTGCATTTCTCAAATGGCCAGTGATGTTGAACATTTTTTCATATATTTATTGGGCATTTTTTTTGTTTTTTTCTTGCTACTGGGGATTGAACTCGGAACCTTGTGCTTGCAAAGCAGGCAGCAGAACCAGTGGTCTGAACCCCCAGCCCCCATTTGTATTTCTTAATCTGAGAAGTATCTCTTCATTTCAGATGCCCATGTTTTGGGTCTTTAAATTTAGGGCATCTAATTTTTGAGCTCTTTATATATTCTATATGTTAGTCCTTTGAGGACTTCTGAGAAGTAAATGGCAAAAAATTTTACCTACTCTGTAGGTTATCTCTTCACTACCCACCCCCCTTGGGTAGGGTCTCCCTTTGTAGTTCAGGTTGGTCCTGAACCCACTACGTAGCTCAGGCTGGCCTCAAACTCTGTGATCCTCCTGCCTCAGCCTTCTGAGTGCTGGGGTTACAGGTCTGCACCACCACACCCGGCTATCTCTTCACTTTGTTGATTTCCTTTGATGTACAAAGCTTTCTAATTTAGTAAGATCCCATTTGTTGATTCTTGGTATTTCTTCTGCAAAAAGTCTTTGAGTTTTATCTATTTTGTTTTCCAGTCTTGAATATAGTCAGAAGCCAGCAAAACTTTGAAGATTGTTTCCAAATATATTTATTTCTAGATCATGCTATGTAACTATGAAATTTGATGACTAAGGATCTGAATTGTATCTGTTATGCTAAAGCCCATGTTTACAAACATGCAGAAAAGCAGATGTAGGAGACCATTAACAAAAGCACATGTTTAAAGAGGGGTGGATTAAAACCATGACTTCACGCATTCTAAGCACATGCTCTAGAGTAAAGCTATATCCTGTCCCCAGGTGTTTTAAATAAAATTCTTAAGTTATTCTTGATCTGATCTTTTGGTTTGGCTTGTTGTTCTCCTCTCCTCCTAGTACTGGGGAATGAACCAGGGCTTTGCACTGAGCTATCCTCAGTCCTTATTTTTTGAGACAGGATCTCACTAAATTGTCCAGGTTGTCCTCAAACTTAGAATTTTGCTGCCTCAGCCTCCTGACTAGCTGAGATTACAGACATGTGTCGTCATGCCCAGCTTTCTTTTCTGTTTTTCTGTCTTTGAGACAGAGTCTTGCTGTGTAGTTCAGGCTGGCCTTGGACTCACTATGTAGCCCAGGCTGGCACTGAACTTGTAGCAATCCTCTTACCTTAGCCTCCTAAGTGCTGGGATTACAGGTGTGCACCACCAATCCTGGCTCTTGTTCTCTTAAAAACAGAAGGTCCATAATGATATGGAGGATATATAAGAAGTGTTCACTACATCCATGTATATGCAACACACTACCTTAAGTTCTGAGACATCTTTCTATGTAATGCAACATGAAGGTAGAAAGCGGTGGTTTAGGTTTCCATTAAATCTCACATTAATTATCAGTATTTTGGGTTGGTACATTTTCTTTAGGGAGTCTTTGCCTCTGACAGTAACCACCAGGGAAAAATTACAACACAAGTGAGGAATGCAGTTAACGAAATTCACTTCTCATTTGACAACTATAATTCATCTTATTTTGTACATTTTTTCCTAATCTAGGATTATCTGAGCAAAACTGAAAAACCTACATAAATAATAAACATTGCTGTTTAGAGTAGTCCCTTAATTGCAGTTCCATCTTCCTTGGTTAGTTACTCTAGGTCAACCAATCTTAAAATACAGTACAGCATGGTAAACTTTGAAGCCACATTGTCTGAATTACAGTACATTGTTATAATCACTTATTAACTTCTTAGCTTCCCTAACTTATAAACCCTCCATAGGTACAGGTAGCAAAAACAGTATATTTATATAGGGTCCAATACTATCTTCAGCCTCACAAATCCACCTGGAGTCCTGGCACACATCACCTCTGACAGGGTGTTCTGAATAGAAATGTACAGCAGTGCCTCCCGTCTTCAGGATGACATCACTTACTTACAGGCCCATGTTCGTTTTCTGCAGACTGTGGACAGAAGACTCTCACTAGAGTACCAGGTCTGAATAACAAGCTTTCAGGGGAGAGGAACTGCTGCAGGAATTCTTTGCTTCCTTTTGAAGAATTTCAATGTTTAGGAGAAATTCTATAACCTCACATACCCTTGAAATACCATTCAGGTACAAATAAATGATTTGTCTTCCAGCCAGATAATGGCAATATCAGAGACAGAACTACTCAACTTGAAACTTTTGCCATTAATGTATACTTAAGCTGCCAAAAAACAGTAACTTAAATTTCTAATCAAATGCACTATAGAAGCAAGCTGTGGTATTAAAGGCAACAAAAAACCCTGCATTTATTTTACTATTGTAGATTTTACAGATTAACCTGTAATTATCAGTAATATTTTGACACTTCATCCTAATAACATACTCTGTATACTAAGAGTATGATTGATTACACATTTTGTCTGCTAGAAGTTGCTAATTTTTGTTCTGCCACCATGAAGTGTACTTTTTTTTTTCTAGTACTAAGGATGGAATCTGGAGTACTTGCAAATGCTACCAAGTGCTCTGCCACGGAGCTATATGCCTAGCCCTTATAACATGTTTGTGAAAGTCTTGCTAAATTCCCCACACCGGCCTTGAGCTTGCAATCCTTTCTCAGCCTCTCAACTAGCTGGGATTGCGGGCATATGTCATTGAGTCCCACTAAAAGTGCACCTCAATTTATGGCAGAGATTGCAATACTTTTAGAGAGATCTTTTTCTAACCTAAGGCTTGAATACTTTTCCCCTCCAAAAAGCAATTTTTAATAAAAAGTTTATTTTTTTCTTTAATAAGACACCTAAAAATCAATTTTTAGGAAAAACAGGTGCTCTGATCCATATTACATATAGGTGATAGTATCCCCTATTAGTGACTAATTTTTACAACATTAGATATCATTGTGATCAGATTATTCGAAGGAGACCTAATCATCTTTGCCTTAAAATAATTTTACTAACTGGATATTTAAACTTGTTAGTTTTTCAGTTGACTAA